GAACCCTGTGGCTCCTTGGCCGACCAAACGACGTGGCATATACAAATACACATACATATACACATATGCACCTACCCATACATAAATATATACATACATATACATATACATATCCATATCCATATCCATATCCATATCCATATCCATCCAGTCCATCCACCCACCCGTCCATCAATCCATCCATCCATACATGGATACAGGCATGCATACAAACATACATACAGCCATGCCTATATATACATATATATATACATACATACATACATACATACATACATACAACATACATACCGAACTACCTACATACATATATATATATATGCATACATACATACATACATACATTCGAAGCCTCTTGGGGTCTGCTTGGGGGCCTCTTGGGGGCAAGCACGGTGCTAAGACGAAAACGAATGCGGTTGACGTGTGCGTTTAACGAAGAGGACGGGGCCATTTTTGCCTCTCGGGGCCCACTGGGGGGTCAAATTGCACGGGCTATGAAGCGTCTTGGAGGCCTCGTGCTGGCTGCCTTGGGCCTCGTGGGGGTCTCGGAGGGTCCTCTTGGGGCGTGGGGCTGGCCATTCAAATTGGATTGCCCTATCCTGGGCTCCTCTAGGAGCCCTCTGGGAAGCTGTTGGGGCCGTTTTGGGTGCCTCTGGGACCGGGCTGGGAACCTTTTTTGGCCGTCTTGGCGCCCTCTGGGGGGCCACTTGCACTGCTGCGCTACATTCCCATCTCTTCCTCCACTGCTGCTGCGGCCTCCTCTGGGTGAGGGGAACATTGCACGTCTAGAATGTCTCGCCGCTCTGCAAGCCCCCTTGAGAAGTCGGAAGACCTCCGAGGGCGACATGGGCAATGTATTATTTGAGTAGGGTGGCATGGGCAGTCGGAGGTTCAATCTCAGTAGGGCGTTTACCGAAATAGCGAGGCTATAGGCGATCTCGTTCGCTCTCCCCAGTGCGCTGATGGACAATTTTTCCACGCAGCGCGCCGAACTTGAGACTTGAGCCAAACAGTTCTGGGCGAAAACTTGCCCCGCAAGAGTGGCGGTGCCACCGCCCCCGCGAGGCTTCGCAGAAGTGGCGTTGCCACCACCCCCGCGACACCAAGACGGCGCACCGTGGCAATCTAGACGGTCGCCGTTCTGGCGCATTCAAGAGTCGATGCAACACAGCGGCGGAAAATGCATCGCATAACTGTCCCAGACGCTTGGCCCATGCGCCTATGCGCCATGCTTTGCCATGCCTCGCGCGCCACGCAGCACGGCGCGGGTGGTCGCCAGCGTGTTCCGGCAGAGCTCTGCCGGAACGCGCTGAGCACACTTCTGAAAATGCTAGGCCCGTCCAGACCGTTACTCTACAAAATCGGCGCGGAACAAACCGGGATACGTTTTCTGGTCACCTGGGCTGTTCTGTCAGCTCTTCTGGGCTGAACAACTTTTTGCGGGCTTTGCGGTGGGGTCCTCCAGCACATGCAAGCAGCGGCGCTCCCCGCGGCCACCAGGCGCAAGTGGCTCTACCGAGCGTGTGAGACGCTATCTATAACAGACGCAATCTGCGAGATTGCGTGAATTAGCTTCGAGGCGGCCGTTAACTCACAGACCGTCACGGTTGACTCCCTATCGAGGCCAAACGCCTCCTCGGCAATCACGTGACACTGTATAGCATTTTTATGTTCTACAAAAGCCTGCAGCCACCAGCCTCCCCCAGCCCCAATATCCGAGGTGCCTCTGTCGAAGTAACCCCTCAATCCTAAAACTTTCGAAGTATATAAAGGGGCAAGATACTCGTTTCTCTTCGATGTGTGTGGGCAAGCTCTGCAAGCCCACGTGAGTTCATCAGCAAAACTGTTACCCTCCCTATAAAGATGTTTGATTGGGTCAGCCCCCGCACACGCAGTTCTCAAACAGGTGTCCGTTATAGCATCAAGAGTGTTTTGTGCCGCCTCCAAGGTGTTGTTATAGCCCATGTTCGTGCACCTCCAGTGCCCTCTTATCCATTGGACCACACACAAGCTGTCACCCAGTATTTCAAATAGAATCTTATCCGACTCATAGTCAAAGATAGTCTCATTTTCAAAGTTATGAGCAATGCGACGCGCAATCCTATCATTATTAACTTTCGTCTCCTCCTCCTCCGTACGTACAACCGAAACTCTAGGTTTGGCCAGATAGTCAAGAATGGCGGGCAGGTGCAATCTATTGAGCAACTTCTCAACGAAAATCGACCAATCTTCTTTCCCAAACATCATAGTCTCCCACCACTTAGTATTGCCATTTTGATCCGCAATGAAGACATCTTCCCATTTTCTCCAACCGACATATTTAGTACCACCACGCCATCCAAGAAGAGCAGCCTGAGAATCCCTCGAGCGTGCAGCGAACGCGCGACGATGAGCGGCCCAGTCACCTGACGCATGCATCATGCCCAACCGCGCCTGAGAGTAGGCGTTGAGGTTGAAGACATTCACGTTTGCGCCAGAGGGTCGTGCCTCTCGCGGCTCACTATCATGATTAGAAGAGGGGGGGGTCCCGTGGTCGCTTACTTCCCTGTGGGGCAGCAGTCAGACTATCGGCGGAAGCGATGGGGTCATCATTCACCTGAGCAATACACCGTCTCTTTTGACTGCCCCTTGGCGAACATATTTCATCCCGATCTCTTTTGTCGCATGGGCGTTGGGGCTGTCTGACACGCTTGGCGAGCTCCTCCTGGCTCGCAGTGAGACTCGGGCCAGGGCACCGCTTCTCTCCCCTGGCGGCCAGACGGGTCTCCACAATCTGCCTGCGACGATTCTTGGCCGCGGGCGTGGGTTCGCTCTCACCGTCGACTGGGGGGGGCTGTGGCCACAGGACTGACAGTGCCTTGGGCTTCGCGCTGGCTGCTCCTTTCTTCCAGGAGCCTGGCGCACTCAAACAGATGCGCCACCTGCAGCGGATCACTCAAAGGAACTCTTATTCTGGACGCAGACGACACACGACCAGAAGAACAATGAGCATCCTTTTTGTTCGGCTCCAAAGAAACTCTTATACTGGACGCAGACGACACACGACCAGAAGAACGTTGACAATCTTTTTTGTGCTCCGTCAGTCCCCCATGGCTACCAAACATAGCCGCAGGTCTCTGGGGCTCAGGCGAAACACTCTGAGGCAAAACACGAGGCGGACAATGAGAATGAATGCGGTGTGTACTGTGTGTGTGCAGCGTAGCTGTCGGAATATAACAAGGCAACTGATCGAAAGAACTTCCTCTCTCAGCCTGCGGCACAGAAGACATCGAACGAAGGTGTGTATGCTCTCCACTGTTCGTGTGCAGCGTAGCTGTCTGAATATAACTGGGCAACGTGTCGAAGGAACGGTCATCAACCTGCGGCACAGGCAACAAAGAATGGACATGTGTTGTATCATCACTGTGAGTGTGCAGCGTAGCTGTCTGAATAAAGCTGGGCGCGGACTCCAAAGAACGTTGGCCAGACAACTGAGGCACAGGCAAAGACGAATGGGCATGTGTGTGAGCCTGACTGTACGTGTGCAGCGAAGCTATCGGATCAACATGTACTCTGTCCGTGTGCAGCGTAGCTGTCGGGATATTTTGACACGCAAAGCCTCTGGCAAAGCAAGCGATATCTTTCGCCCAGAGCCAGTTCTTGTGAATGAAGAGTTCCACCGCCGACTGAAATCCAAGGTTGGCGAACTGGTCGCGAGCATACTTGAACCTCCTCTTTTGGTAGACCGTCCAATCTTCAGTCACTCCTTTCCTCCTTCCTCCGATGATAGCTAATAGCTTTCCTTCCCAGGAGAATATTTTTTTGTGCCGTGATGTTGTCAATCGTCATCCCTTCAATTGCGAAAAGTAGCTTACTCTGGATACGGAGTCGGTATCGCTGGAATCGTCTCTCAATCGGGATGCGATGACTTCTATAATATTCGATGTCGGCAAAGAAGGCACCACGGGCACGATCCAAGTTGAACTGCAGATCGCTATGCTGTGTCCAATATCTGTCCAACCTGTAACCCAGGATGTCCAAAGTGTTAACGCATTCAAGTTTATACGTGTGGGTCTGGATATGAAGAACTACATCATTCGAGCCATTGACGCCAAAGGGGATGAGCTTGAGAGAGGATGGTTTCCAATTGAGGCCGGCCTGGAGCAGGGGGAGAGTGAGCTCAGTCACCATGGTCCTGAGCTGCCGTTCATCTCTAGCGTACAGCAACAAATTGTCCGCCCAGAGGGCATGTGAAATCGTCGATCTAGTGGGCATGGGAACGGGGGACTCGACTACATAACCCAGATCACGCCCTGGCCAGGTCCCGACGATATCATTCCACAAGGCCACACTCACCACTTTGAATATGAATGGTCCGTCCACCCCGCCCGTCCTGATACTCCGATCCCAACCAATCCAATCCAAATTCTGGGTCCCTTCGAAGGTGGCTTTACACGTGTTTTCGGTCATAGGACAAAGAAGGGCATACATCAAAGCGGGGTCAAAACCAAGCTTCGCCATACTTTGTAACGCTAGCTTGATAGTAACGTGGTCAAACGCCTGCCGCCTGGATCGTCGCGAGGCAGTGGTGTGAGAGCTAGACGAGTCTAGTAACTAATAACCGTCCTCGCTCTGTGACAGACATCCGAGGTTCCCGACACCGTCGGAAACCTCTGTTGATGCTACGCCGATGCCCCCTTGACCCGCGCCCCTCCTCTTCGGCCCTCCTGGCCAGGAGCGGCCGAAGCTTCGCGAGACAGATGGCTCGCAGGGGCATGGGGGGGAATCGGCAACGCTCGAAAATGCAATCGCGCAGCGACGGGAAAACATGCAATGCAATGACGGAGCCAACGCAAAAACATCGGCAATGGCCCCGGACTCGGGCACGCGCACTCCCTGTGGCTGGTCCCCAACTGGAGGCCCGAAACCGAGATCCCAAAGAAAATGGCAACGGCGCTCCAGGATGCCCATTGACCCCCTCGCTGCGCAGGCGGCTGCAGGCGGCGCGCACCGGCGGCAGCCGCGGCGCGGCCCAGCAGCTCGACGATCAGCTGCAGGCCGAAGTGGACGCGGACGCGGCCCATCACGGCGGCGGCGAACACCTTGGCCAAGCCGTCGGCCCGCTGCTCCTCCGAGGAAACTTTCTTGAGCAGCAGCGTTCCCATGCCTACCCGGCTGCGGAGCGCTGCGGCTCGATTAGCAAGCGCGCGCGTGCGCCAGCTGCCCTGCCCTTCGGCGATGAAGAGGCTGGCGGCGCTGTCACCCCAGAGCGTCGGCGTATAGAGCCACATGCGCCGACTGCAACGATGGCCATGGTCGCCTCCGCGCCCTCGAGCATCGTGACGCCCATGTTCAAAGCAGTGATCTCTGCCTCGGCGGTGCTGCGGGCCACCTGCGGTTGCTTCTGGCCCCTCCAGTCGATCAATTCGCCACCGCAGAAAACTGCCACTCCCGTCTGAGCGGTCTCCGTCTCGAAGCTGGCGTCTGCGAAGACGTCCAGGCTGAGGGAGGACAGCTCGGCGCAGCTGGCACTCGGGTCGTCGGGGCCCCAGCCGATCACCAGGGCGAAGCCACGAGCGCCGATCAAGTACCGCAGAACACGCTTGCCCTGCCGCAACGCCCAAACGGGATGGCTGCATGCAAAGCTGCTGAGACGCGAAGTCGCGAGAGACACGTCGGGGCACGACCTTGTAGCAAGCCAAAACAAGCCTCCTGCCATCCGCTGGGCCGCGCGGGCGGCTGCTGGGTCAGCGTCGCCATCCTCCGGCGCGCGAGGTGGCGGAACGGGCTCGAGCGCGATGGTGCGCGCGCCGTTGGCGTCGCCCAGGCCCCAGATGGGGAGCGCGTCGTCCAGGTGGGGGTCCTGGTGCACGATCAGCTCGGACCCTCGCGCCTCGATCTCCAAGCCCAAGTAAATCACCTTCCCCGGCGCTTCCCAGCCGACCCGGCTCTGGACCGAGCGCGCCGAGGTAGCTATCAGCAGCGACTCCAGCTCGTCCAACGCCCCGTCGGGCCCCAAGCAGAGGAAATCGTCGACGTAGACGAGAAGGGGGCCGAGCAAGAGGCGGTCCGACTCCAGCTTCGGCCCCGCCGCAGCGAACGCCATCCAGACACTGGGGTCGCACCTGCTCTGGACCAGCTTCGCCGGCGCGCCGTCGACCGAGAACTGCATTGCCCGCGCGTCGCTGTCGCGCTTGGCACCCCAAGCCCTGGGGGCAATCCGCAGCCCATAAATCCCATTGCTCGCAACCCAAAGCGCGCCTGGTCCAACGAGGCCAACATCGGCGAAGAGCTTGGGAGGACGAACAACGACGCGACCAGCCACGGGGGGAAGAGGAGCATTGAGAAATGCTGTGCTCACGTCGAGAGCTTGGAGCTTCCACCTGCACCGAGCGACCACTACCAGCGCCGGGCGCGCGCTGGAGATCTCGACGTTCTGCGCGTAGACGACCTCGTCGGGCTGCTTCGCCTGGGAATTCCCGCACACCAGCTCCCCGGATATTCTTCCTCCTCCTCTGCTGGGCGCTCCCCGGTGTGGGGGGCTTGATGCCTGCGACTACCTTCATCGGCAGGATCTCGCTGGCCCTGCCTCCGCTGCGGTCCGCAGCGGGCAGCTCGTCGAACACCGCGTTCGACCTGTCGCTGAACAGCTCGGTCGCCATCGCCTGGAACCACCCCCCCTCTCGGCCCCCACGGCGCGGCGGAGGCCCTGGCTGGTCACGGGCTGCATCCCCCAGTCCTTGAGCACCTCGCGGAACTCGGGCAAGGACGCGTCGGCCACGCCGTCGTCGTCGGCGCCGCTCCCAGCCGCGCGGGTCGCGGCGGGCACCGTCGGCGTCCGCGGCAGCTCCTCCCGATGACCACTCGCGCCCTGCACGGTCGGCTCGAGGTCCACGAAGCGCCCCCCCAGCGCCGCGGCTCTCGGCGGCCTGGAGTCCCCGGAGGCCTCTCCGGGAACATCTCTGGCCGGCTGCTTCCCGCGGTAGCGCCTCCTGCGGAAGCTGGCGCAACTGGGGCAGGGCGCCTCCTGCATGCATCATCGCGCTCGTGAGCCTGGTGGGCGCCGTGGCGCGGGGCACGCGGCCACCTCGTCGGCCCGATCGATCCGAAGCCCATCGCTGTCACCAGCTCCGCTGGTGCTGGCTGCATCCTCCTCCTGAGCTCCTGCTGCGCCCTCCTCCTGAGCTCCCGCTGCAAGACCTGGCTGCCGGGCGGATGCCGCTTCGCCGGAAGCGGCCGCAGCGGCGCCGCCTGGCGACTCGACCAACGAACGTCGCGGCGGCGGCGGGCGCGGGATGAAGCTGGGCGAGGTCTCAAAAACCCACTTCGACACGCCCGGCTTGGCCTGCTTGTGCCCCGCAAGCGCCGACTGCGAAACGTAGTCGGCGACGCCCGAGAGCACCCTGTCAGCGGCGCGCGACGCGAAGCCGAAGACCGCCGGCTGCTTGATTTTCGCCGCAACCATGCTGCCGAAGGGTGGGCACGAGGTCGGGCGGCCCTGCGCCTCGCGCCTCGATCTGCAGCGCGGCGGCGCGCTGCGCCGCAGCGGGCCGCAGCTGCTCGCGGTCGGCGGGCTCCAGCACGACCAACATGGCGCGAGCGCGCTGCTTGATGACCCCGATGCCCCTCTCAGCGCGCGGATTGTTATTGGGGCCCCGCCCGGGCGTACTCGCGACGAGGACCCCATGCCCTACCATTTGCTCACGAAGTCGAGATCCCGAAGGCTCGCGAGCACCGTCGGCATGTAGTCGAAAGACGCACCGCGTCTGCAACTCCAGGCTCACCTCTGCGATGATGAGCTTGAGAGCCTTCCCCACCTCGTCGGCCGCCTTGGTCTGCAGCGGACGCGTGTAATATCACGCGCGGCGGCCCGTCGCCGCATCGCCTGGCAGGTCCACCAGCAGCTCCGCGGGCTGCTCGATGACCTCGCCGTCGACGCCGCATGGCACTGGCACTGCTGCGGCTGCGAATGCCAGCGTCTCGACCCCCCGGGGCTTCCGGGGCCTGCTGCGCCATCCTCCTTGCCCACCTCCATCTTCGAGCTGCCCCGCGCGAATCGCTTGTTTTTGGCCGCCGCCTCCTTGCCAATTTTCTGCACACGCGGACATGCGCAGATCCCGCAGCCCGCCTGCGCGCCGACGCCAGCGTGGGCTGCGCTTACGCACGTCTACACTTGCGTGTACAATGTGCATTGAAATATATACGAACATACATACAAACATATGTGTATACATTATATGTATGTGGATTAAAGTATCTGGTCGTCGACGCATGAGTGATATGAAGAGCGCCAGTACGGTTCTCTTGTGTGAGCATCTTGCGAACAGAAAATGATGTTTGCATTGGATGCTCTGCGTTGCGGTTTTGATTGCAGGTCGTCGTGGTCTGTCGCCTTGACATGTCCCGCGGTGCGCCCCCGTGGCGCGTCCCCAACTTCATGCGCTTTTCGGACTTATCCACTAAGGTTATATAGCGCTAGGTGTTAAACACTTATCATGAGCCAATTCGCATAATACGGTCTTATACGTACTAAGTTAGGCCGAAAGTTAAGCCATAGTTAAGTCAGACTAGGTCGAAGTTGCGCGCATGTTAATAAGGCCGTTGGTTGGGCCCCCTGGCTGCGTCGAAATTTGCAAATGGTATATCGAAATGAAAACGGCGACGCCGGTCGAGCGCATTTTGCGGCGCTTTCGGCGAAACTCTGGAGGGCGATGGGGCCGGGGCGTCAGGGGCGTGCCGAAGGAGCGGCGACGCCATCCGAGCGTGCCCCATGGGCCCTCGGAGAATTTCCCCATGCTGCTTGCTCGCGCACTATGCGCGCTATGCAATGTGATGCGCCATGGCTTGTTCTTTGGTTCGGGGGGTTACGGCGGAAGCGGGGGAGGTTCATACAATGGCCACTGTGCCAACCCGCCAGTCCCGTGGACCCCGCCGCCGAGCCCAGCGGCCGCCGTGGAGCGGCACGGCGGCGGGGCCACCGTGCCCACCCCAGCGGGCCGCAACGGTCTGCGTGTTTTTTTGTGGGGGCCCTCTGGCGGTCGCGCCGGCAGTCGGGTCGCGGGGGGCGCGGGCCTGGTCTTGCGGGGGCGCCGCGGGCGCCCTCGAAGGAGGGTGGCGGTTCGGGGGCGGAAGAGGACGGAGGATATGATGTGTTTTCTGTTTGGATGCCCCCTGTGTGTACGCGCATGCAATGCATGTGCCGATGTGTATATATAGATATATGTGTGTATCCTTTTCCTGGGGAAAGGATCACCCGCTCGTCGGCCGATCGCGGGCCCGCCAGGCGCCCTCCTTCGCCCCCCCCCCCCCCCCCCCGCAGTGGCACTGGCGACAGTGACAGAAGGGCAGGGGGGGAAGGAAAAGGGAGGAGGTCGCGCGCTTCGCGGCTCCATGGCTCCACCGACGGCCGCAGCGGCTGCGCGCATTCCTCGCGCGTTTCGCGGCTAGGGGGCTCCATCGAAAGCTGCAGCGGCTGGCCGCCGTCAGACAAATTGGCCCCCGTGGCCAGGGGGGGCCCTCCACGTCGGGAGGGAGACTTTGAGAAGACATCTAAACGATTCGCGCAACCCTACCAGACCATCCAGAAACGATGCCCAGAGGAATTGCCTCGATCAGGGGAGTGGGCAACGCGCAAAGGAAGGGCCCCCCAGTGGAGGCCTCTTGGAGCGTTTTGGGAGCCTCTTGGCGGTCCTGGACGCCGACAGCGCGTTGGGTGCCTCGGAAAGCTGCTTGGGGCCTTCTGGGGGTCTATTGGGGGGCGTCTTGGAGGCTTCTTGGGCGCCTGCGGGCCCCCCCGGCGCCTCCTGGGCGCCTCTCGGGGCTCTCTTGAAGCGCTCTCGGGAGCCTTGGGGTCGCTCTCGGGGCCATCTTGGAGGACATCTATCAAACGAGAGGGGGGCATTACTTAGCGCTGCTTTTCGGGCGCTCCTGGGGCGCTCTTCGAGCACTCTCGGGTGCTCTTGGGGCAGTATCTGGGCTCTCTTGAGCTTCTATTGCGGCCCTCTTGGGCTATGTTGGAGCTATCTAAACGCGTCGGATGGCCGTCGGAAGCGAAAACGCGAGAAAGCCAAACACAGTGATTGCCCGATGGTTTTGGAAGGATGCTGGCCTCTTCGGGGCCTCCTGGGGGAGCTCTTTGGCCACTTGGAGCCGTCATGGAGCGGTCCTGGGACATCTGGGAGCCATTGTGAGACATCTCGGGGAATCTTGAGCCATCTTGGAGGCCATCTCGGGCCCTCCCAGGCGCCCAGCAGTCATCTAAATCAGCGCCCCCCTCCCCCCCCCCCCGCGCGCGGCAAAAACCGTAGCAGAATCACTGAGTTTTGCATTCTTGCCGAGGCCTCTTGGATCATCTCGGGTGCCTATGGGGGGTCTTTTGGGGCCTCATGGGGGTCCATTGGGAGCCTCTCGGGGGCGTCCTGGGGGCATCTTGGGGCGCCCTGGCCACTTCGTCGGGCCCCCATTGGGGCGCCCTTGGGAGCCGCGGGGGCCATATTTGGGCCATCTTGGGCGAGATCGATCACAGGATGATGGGGGAGGGGGGCTAATTCGCCACATCCCCCCCCCCCCCATCAGGAAGCCAAAATGGGGCAAAACCTTAATCGAACCAATGATGCCGGCGTCCTCGACGAGGCAGCCGTGTTGGGCGCCGCGACACCCCAGGACCCCCCCCGCCCACGTCCACGGGGAGGGTGCACGGAGGGGTGGAAGAGGTAACCCATTAAACCACCGACGCCCAGAGGGCTGGTGGGGTTGCACCTGGTTTTCTCCATTGGGCTTTCGATTGTGCATCGTGGAACACATTCGCGTCGAGTTCTCGCACGGGCTGCGTTTGAACGTTTGATCTTGGAGTAGCAGAAAAAAGATGGGCGTTTCTTGGCAATCGTTTGCAATCGTTTGGCACACGTGGCTTTCCAATAGTGATGGCAAATCATCGCAGCGGAACGGCGCTCGAAAAGGGGTTCGACCTTTCGTTGAGATTTCGCTGGTTTGTTTGAAAAAGTTGAGCCGCGTTTCTCGCGCATGGTTGTTCCTTAGGTAAGCGGCGATATGTTAGGAGTTCGCGCCGGTGCGGGCTGGGAGATGGTACGCGTCGCTATTAATTGCGCGCGTTGGTTCGGGCTACCAGGAGAAGTTCCGAGCGACCTTTAGAGGGCCCGCGATAATGTTTTCCAAAGTGGCCCATTGGTTGGGCGTTGACCCGCTTATCGCAGGAGATGGCCCCCGAGGGCCCCGAGGCGAGTCGAACGTAGTTCAAGACTACCCACTAGGCCCAATACAGACCAGGGCGGCCACAATGCCCCCAGAAGGCACCACGAAGGCACCGTGGAGCCTCAGGACGGCCCACGAAAACCAAGAACACAACGAGCAGCCTTCGAGGGGCCCCAAGCTACCTCCAAGAAAAAAACAGAGGCTTCACCTAGAAGCTTTGACCCACAACCCAGGCACGGCAATGGGATGGGCGGAAAGCCATTATAGAAGTTCTCACGCACAGGTTGGGAGATTGTCATTCGGGCACGTGGATGGGCCATCCATCTGATAGGCGCGACGCTGCCACTCCGACCACATTGAGTCATAACAACTCTCTAAATACAAGATAGAAGGACATAATAATCCAGAAGCCGCATTAAAGTGATCATTTGTTGATTGGCCCCCCCTCTGTCACAGAGGGGGTCTAAGATGCCCCCCCTCTGTCACAGAGGGGGTCTAAGATGCCCCCCCTCTGTCACGGAGGACCTCGTTCTGGGTGCTCTTCTGCCACGGGAGCTCCCGATGCGATTGGGGACGATAAAATGCGATGGCGGGATGGGGGATTGGAGGGGGAGGGAGAAGAAAACGATGAAGGAGAGGAGGCAACGACAGCACCGATGAAAGCGCCGTTTCTTTTCCCTTCTCCGCTCGGGCAGCGGTCGCCGAGCACGACGGCGCGCGCGAGTCGCCGCCGCTCACGATGCATTGGCAAGGCCTTCGCTGCTGCGGAGGGTCGACGTTC